TGATAGTGTAAGTTCTCTAACTTCATTCTTCTTTTGACATTGCCTTAGCCCTTCTAGAATTTTTGCTGCTCCATTTAAACTACAGAATCTGACAGTCAATTTCTACAAACACATTGCTAACATTTGACTAGGATAACTTTGAATACAGATCAAATTGGGAGTAATTGACATCTCTTCCATTTAACATAATAATAATGACATTTCCAATCCACTAACATAGTATGTGTCTCCATTTAATGTGAATTTCTCTCTTAGCAATGTTTTCTAGTTTTGATTTAGGCCTGTACATCTTGCTTTGTATTTATCCTAAGTATTTGATAACTTTTTTTATGCTAACACAGCTAATGTATTTTACCTTTTATTTTCCAACTGTTTGTCCCTGTTACATAAAAGTATATATTTTTTGTGTATTATGGTACTGATTAACTTACTAATTTTAATAGTTTAATTATATACTTTTACTTTAAAATTTAAAAAATTACTATAGAATAAACATATATGAGTTTGATATTCATCTATAATGTTACAAGATTCAAAACTAGTTAATTTCTTCTGTTGCTGAGCAGTGAGTATATCTTGAGAGACATTTGGATTATGCCCAGTTTTTGTCTATTACAAATAAAGTGCTGTTCTTGTAAAAAAAAAATATGAATGATTAGAATTAAATCTTCAGTGCAAGACCAGTCACTGAAAAGTAGAAAGCACTACTAAGAGAAATTAAAGAATACATGTAAGCAGAGAGACATATGACAGGCATGTGTTGAAAGACTGCATGTTTATAGCAATTTTAAATGTCAATTTTGCTCCAAATTATATAGAGATTCAGCAAAATACAAGTAAAAGTTCCAGCAGGAATATTTATAGTAATTGATAATAGTACTTTAAGATTTATATGAAAATTCCAAGGACACTACCTCATTTTAAGATTTATGAAGCTGCAATAATTATGACATCATGATATTGGTGTCAAGGTAGGTCAATAAATCAATAGGTCAGTGAAACAGAATAGAGAGTCCAGAAATAAGCCATGCATATATGGACAACTGATTTTTTATATAATTGCAATTCAGTGGAGAAAAGACTTTCTTTTCAGTGGTGCTGGCACACTGATTTTTGATATATATGCATTTTTTGACATAGATGTAATTCAGTGGAGAAAGAACCTTCTTCTCAATAACAGTGCTAAGACACTTGAATATATACACATGTAAAAATGAACTTGATTCAAACCTTATACTACATACAAAAATCAACTGAAAATTGATCATAAATCTAAATTTAAAACTCAGCACGGTGAAAGTCATTTTTAAAAAGAAGAAAATTTTTGTGACCTTGGGATAGACAAAGACTTCTTAGATACAAAATCAATAGCACGGTCCCATGATACAAAAAAAAAATATAAATTGGACTTCATCAAAAGTAAAAATTTCTGCTATTTGAAGGACACTATTAAAAATGAAAAGACTAGTTACAAACTGGGAGAAATATTTCCAAATTATATATCAGATAAAGAAATTATATCCAGAATATAAAAAAGTCTCTAAAATAAAAGTAAAAAGAAAACAAATGCCCCATTAAAAAGATTCAGATACCACACCAAAAAGATATAGAAATGTCAAATAAGCATATCTTTAGACCATAGCAAGTGATAGTGAGGTGGAGAAAATGGAACTACACTGATGGTGCGAATATAAAATGTTACTACTACTTTGGAAAATAGTTTGGCAGTTTTTTAAAAAGCTAAAAATAACCTATCAGGTCACCCAGCAGCCATCCTGCGCCTTGGTATTTACCCAGGATACATTAAAGCTATGTTCATACGAGGACTTATACATGAATGATCACAGCAGCTTTGCTTATTGCAGCTAACACTGAAAACCCAAATCTCTATATTCATTGGCGAATAGAAAAACCAGTTGTGGTATAACCATACAATGCAATTCCCCTCTGCAATAAAAATGAACGAACTATTGATTCATGTACCTAGTTGAGTAAATGTAAAAATTACTATATCAAGCGAATAAAGTCAGGTAAAAAGAACACATGTTATATGATTTCCTCTACATCACATTTTAGAAAACACAAACTGATCTATAGTGACAGAAAGGCGATCAGCTGCCGGAGGCCAGGGTGAAGAGGCAGTGGGGAGCAGAAGGGAGAGACTGAGGAAACTTTAGGGAATCTGGTTCATTATCTTGATTGGGTTGATGATCTCACTCATGACAGCATGCGAGAAAATATCAAATCATATAATTTAAGTATGTGCAGTTTATTGTTTGACAAGGATTCCTCAATAAGATGTTCAAACTTTGCAGTAATGTAGTTGTGTTACTTTCATTTATAATTTTTTGACAGATTGATATAATTATTTTTTAACACTTTTATTTATTTACTTTTAGAGGGAAGAGGAAGGGAAGGAGAGAGGGAAACATCAATGTGTGATTGCCTCTCACATGCCCCCTACTGGGGACTTGGCCCGCAACCCAGGCATGTGCCCTGACTGGGAACCGAAACAGCAACCCTTAGGTTCATAGGCCCGCACTCAATCCACTGAGCAGCATCAGCCAGGGATAAAAATTATGTGTATACTCATTGATAGCATTTGTTAAATATCTTATTTCCAGACACTATATTTATCTTTTTTAATTCAGCAATTCATTCAGCAAACATTCAAAGTGCCAGACATTAGGGTGTTGGACAAACACAGGTGAAACTTTCCAATCAGTGTGGTGGAGAAGTAGCATTTATTGAGTACTGAAGGAGTTCCCCCCCAAATTTCACATTGATTATTTTGAGCTAAAGGAACTTCAAAAGCAGCAGATGCAAGAAAGGCTCTTTCACCTACTCTCTTCTATATAACACAGGCCATGGGAAAGGTGCTGTCCCTATACCAGGAAGAGAGAGCATCCTTCTCATCAGAGACTGGAAATTCATGCCAAAATGGATCTGTGCAAACTTACTGAAATAACCCTCATATTCTAACAGTTTTGCCACACCCCCACCCGTACCATATATTTTCTAGTTATTTTCCCATAATTTGTTACCCATAGCCCAAGCCCCATTGTCTTGTCAATTTTTCATAAATTATTGTTTCTTTGTCTAAGGGGTATAAGAGCTTTCTGCTCTGGTTACTTCCTCAGGTCTTCATTGTCTTGTGAAGGGGTCCCAGAGAGCAGTAAAAATTTAAACTTGTATGCTTTCTCCTGTTAACTTGTTTTATGTCAGTTTAATTCTTAGACTCCCATCAGAGACCTAAAGCAGGTAGAGAATTTTTCCTCCCTTATAGCATCGATTACGTAACAGTTAATGTTATTACATTAATCACTTTATTTACTTTTCACAAAATAGAGGCCATATCTTCTTATATCCATTTTACACATGAAAAAATTGAGCCCAAAGAATTTACCATACAAAAAGTGGCAGAACAGTACTGAAATCCAGGTTCCTGTGACTCCAAAGTCATGGTACTTTCCATCAAACCTCAATACAAAACTTACAAGCACATCTAAAGAACTTGGAGGGCACATGATAAAATCCCTAAAACTTTTTGAGGAAATCAGTGAAGGCTTTGCTACTAAAACCTTAATGCTTGAGATGCAATCAAGGCTCTCAAGTACTCAGAATTTTAAGGGAGCGTATTTTTGATGACTCAGAGGAAAATTATTGTATAGTTATCTTCAGGCAGAAGTATATATTACTTCAGGCAGAAGTGATGTTTTCTTTTTTATTGCTCCTGTAGTTCTGCTTGTGTGGCCAATGTATAACTCTTCTACCTCATACTTCAGTGAGTTGTGCTGAAGTTTGTAATTGACAATTTATGGTGGCTGGAAGTGCCATTTGTATTTTAATAACATCTGAAATTTTAAAGAACCTATGTGAAATCATCTTACATAAATTTACTATTCACAACTTCATGAGTTTTACACTATTACTATCTCTATTTTACTAATAAACACACTGTACCATAAAAATGATCTACAAGTGTAAAACAAAACACTTAAGCCATATAAAATTAACAACTTTTTTTGGTAAAATTTTGTCTTCGAGCTGCAGTAAACAATAACAGTTCAGAACAAACTTTTGGTAGCCAGACACATTCAAGTAAATGTATAAATTACACTTCAAGCCACTTATGAATTGAATTTATGTTTTTCTATTATGGATAATAAGATGATTAAGCTTTTCAATCTAGATTTTGAGAACTTATCTTTTATGTAAAGTATCATTTCAAAAACACAAGCTAAAATTGAAGGGTAGTTTGTTCAGTAAGATAATGAGATTGTTTTTTACATAGCTTGATTCACTTGTGTTCAAAGAAATGAGGACATTTAATAGCAGGTTATAGATTAATTGATCAACATTAATCATTTCCGTAAGTGGCCTTACATGTGCTATGTCTAAAAAGCTATATTTAATAGTTTACCATGTTACAAAGGATTATGTGTTAAATGAATACTCAGTGAATCCTTTTTTTTTTTTTTTATGACGCAGATAATCCTTTAGACAGCCAAGGGCAGACGGTTTACTGGAGGTATTAATGAAGGACTCGTGTACATGAAGCCATGAATCATGAAAGCCTGGTGATTTATTGTAGCCAGATTCTCAATTTAACCATATATATGCACTTAAAGAGTATGTTTTTCTCATCTAAGGTTTGGGCCAATTCGTTAAAAAATATATACAAGTTTGTTAGTGCTTATTATATGGGTCTAAAGCGGCCTCAAAGGTGAAACTTGTAAAAGACAGGATGCTGGCTCTTATTCCGCACACAACATTTTCACTAGATTATCAGAAACCAAATTTGGAAAATAATCTGGAACGCGGGTGTGTACGAATGAGACACTGACTAGTAACAGTTGGTGCAAATAAACAAATTGCAACCCGTGGACACCCGCCTCTTCGGTATTCCGTCAGTCAACTTGCGTGTGGGCGGGGCCACGCCAAAACACAACCCCAATCTACACGAGTGCGCATGCGTTCCCAGGCGGGCGGCTGACCCTGCGCAGGGCGCAGACTAGACGTCGGGCGTGCGCAGGCGCTCAGCGCTGAGGTTTGCCGGAAGCTAAAATGGCGTTTAGGTGTTCTCCAGGCTGCAGTTGGCGCGTTATCAGTTTCTGAGCCGGTGTTTTGTAAGGGGCAGTGGCGACCGTCCTCTTCGCCGCCATGGCCCGACATAGGAATGTTCGAGGCTATAACTACGATGAAGGTAGGTGGCAGGCTTATGCCGGATGTCATTTTCTCCGTTCCAGCTGGTATCCCAGCTTATTGGCATTCTCGTTTCTCTCTGAGTTCCTGATCAGTTGTGTGTGCCTGGAAGTCAGAACAACTGAGACATCAGTTGGAGAAAATAGGCCATCTGCATGCCAGAGAATGGCGTTGTTTTATGCTGTGACTTCTGCCTTATGGGATTGATCTTACTTAGGATGGGGGAGGTCCTGTACGGCGTCATATGGGAAGGACTTGGCGAGGTTGGGACCCGGTGTTATTTATGCACGTAAGCATTGACACCTCTTCCTCCCATTGTTATCTCCCAGGTCCAGAATACACTGCTTACTTTTAGCTCCTTTTCCCGACCCCCTAACTTCCTTTCAAAAATGCCCATGAAATGTTGCTTGTTTGTAAAACACAGATTGACTTAATGGTTACATATTCAGCTGTTTGCTGCTACTATGTTCGACTTACACAGTAAATCTTTTTGTTTTCATACATATTAAGTACCGAATCTGGCTTAAACCAACTGGTTAATTTATTTTCTATGAGTTTCAAGTTAAATTGGAAATTTAGGAGACGGTAGAAAAGATACATATTAAAAAGGCCCAAAGAATAAGTCTATTAGATGATATTAGGTGTATACCGAATTCTTGGTTGATTATTCTGAATATAAACGTATTTTGGAATGGAAAAAAAAGCAATAATAGAAGAAAGAGGGCTTCGTAAAGGACTTACTGATTTAAAAAAATGAAGTAAAAGCAGATGCATATGAACATTTCCTAGGAGTTTAAAAGAAGAATTAGTTAAGAACAAGCACAACATCTCTGTGCAGTGAATAATTATGGGCCACGCTAAGTGTCATACAAACTAAAATGATGACAAATATGATCGAGTACAGAAGAGGCATAAAGACCTGTTGCTTTGTAAAGTGCAAAGCATGTAGTGTGCTTAATATGTTGGTGGTTATTACTGGCTCTCCCAGAAGGTTACTGCAGAACATCTGTTATGCTCTTAACCATAGTAGAAGGTAGCTAACACACTGAGCTACATTTGGAGGGTAACTCAGACTGGCATATGTTAGTTAGGTTCCTAGTGTTCATTTCACAATGGAGGCTGTTTTAAGTATTGCAGTGGGTGGTGGTATTGGATGTGGATGGACCACTGTTAGCTGCAAATGACTTTAGCCTGGGAGATATTTTTGCAGATATGCTATAAAGACATGAAGAGGCCTAATTACTTTAATAAAGTAATTTATTAAATACCATTTCCTTAACCAACTTTAATTGAGTGCTTAGAATACTGTTCTAAGCTTTGGGGACCAATGATAAGATGTTTGAGGGAGTCTAACAGGAGGAGATACACAAGTAACAGGTGGTTAGAGTATGATATGGTTCAAAAAGTACTCACAAAGTTCCATGGAAGCTAGGGAAGTGCAAGCACCTTATTCAGAGTGAGTTAGAGGAGTTCGAGTAGGAGTTCTCTGTGAGGAAGGCTTCCTGGAGAAGTGCTTGGCCTGAAGGAGTGAGTGCTAAGTTTCTTCTCGCCTTGGGAACCCCAGGCTAGGTTGCTAGGTTTCTTGGGAACAATTGATGACATCATACCCAAGCCATTCCTTAGCATAGGAGGGTCATCCCCTTTTCCTGCTTACAAAATTTCGGCTCATTTTATGAGTTCAGTTGATTTCTCTTCTTCCAAATTGAGCTTTTCCTTTTACTCGCAGAATAATATAAAAATTCGCAAAACTAATATAACTTCATTGGAGAGAGTTTGTGCTCCAAAACCCATTGGTTCCTGTATTTAACTCTTGCTTTGTTCACTGTAATTTGGATAGCACTTTACATGACTGCTTTAGTTACTAATTTAAAAGTTCCAGAAAAGCAAAGTTCATACTTGATATTTACTCCAGTAGCTGCCACACTGATGGCATGAAGTAAACACTCCCAAATTTTTTTGAGAAAAAGAACTACTTTATAAAAATCCCAGGAAAGGGATTTTCTGTCTTTTTATATTGTGTTACTTTTAGGCTTAACTTCAGTATTGAAAAATTGAGCTAGTAAAAAAGATTCTCGTTGTTTTTTTATATCTCAAAATACTTTTTTGTCGATGGCTTTTCATTTATTTACTAATAAGTTATCATTAACTCAGGATTGTGATCTAATTTATTGAATTACATATTTTAATCCCATAGTAGCATTTATGTAATTTTTCTTTGCCATAGACATATGGTCTCAGTCTTTGAACATGCATTCTTGCTGCATGAATACCTTCAGAAACCAGCTAACTATCCTTTGGAATTGGTTTAAATAACCCTGGGATCTTTCCCTACTACCCTACTCCCAATTCTATTTTTGTCGTTCATATGTGTGTTCCCAATAGCTCTGTATTTCTCATGTCAAACACATGTCATTTGGTTTTGTAATTGCTCATTTTCTTGACTGTTCCCTGTTAGATTTCAAGTTTGTTGAGATCTGTGCCTGTCACTCGCTGTTTTACCCCAAATGACATAGCGTCAGTGTGTTATTTGTTGAATAAATAAATATTTTATGCAAACCTATTTATGGTCTTTGTGAATTTTTTGTTTTAAATGGTTTGATTCATTAATTTATAATGAAGTGTTAATTTAGTGCCAAACATGTGCCGGGTATTTGGCTAGACAGAGTCTTGCACTGAGGACGCTTATGGTCTCATGGAGTGTAACAGGTGTAGAGGTTCGAAGACTTTGAGTTGGAGGAGTGCACTAGAGAGTGAAAGTGGCAGGGGGGGCTTCCTGCTTTCCACCCAGACTGGTCCAGGAAGACGCCTGCAAATGGATGACATTTGAGTGGGAACCTTAACCAAGAGGAGGAAACAGCCTTAGAGATATTTGGTTAAAAACATATTCTAGTCAATAGAAAAAAAGGCCAATTAGCCACAGCAGAATGACCTCAAGGGGGTGTCGAATAAATGGTTTTTATAGAGATTACTTTGTTTTACATGAAGAAAAACTGCTTTCATGGTCTGATTATATACCCTGTACTAGTTATTTGTATGAAAAATAAATGCTTTGGTTATACAGAGCATTTGGCGAAAAAAAAATGTGTGGATTTCATGTTGAATGTTTGTCGACACTGGAGAGACAATTCTAAGTATGCAATCTGTGGGATTATGTATTACTTTTTGATCACATGAGGTGAAAAATTGGAATAACTTAATAAAACCCAATTAGCTTAAAAACTGAAGAACCATGTATGTCTCTATAAAGGTGTAAATATATAGAGTCAATAAATACCTACTATGTAAGTAAAATTTTTAGAATTTTTTTGAAAAGTGTACATTCCAAGTTCCTTTAATTTTTTTTGAAGATTTTATTTATTTAATTTTAAGAGAGAGGTGAAGGTAGGGAGGAAGAGAGGGAGAGAAGCATCAATCATTTGCCTGTAGTACACGCCCCAACCAGGGACCAAACCCGCAACCCAGCCATGTTCCCTGACTGGAAATGGAACTGGCAACTTTTTGCTTTCAGAATGAAGCCCAACCAACTGAGCCACATTGATTAGAGCCCAGTTTCCTTTAATTTTGATGAACAATTTAATTTCTTTTGGAAAAAATTTAGATGTTTTCTTGTTAATAACTAAGAATATAAAATGAATTTATCTCGTGGTTTTATTTTAGATTTTGAAGATGATGATCTCTATGGCCAGTCTGTAGAGGATGATTATTGTATTTCGCCATCAACAGGTGAGAAATAATTTGATTTTCATTACTTGGCTGTTTAAAAATGTTTAGTGAGTATTACTGTCATTCTAGTACTAGAGTGTTCCATAAGACGGTAATATTATACAACATTTAAAAAGGTAATTATATATTTACTTTTAATGGTATATAAAATAATTTCTTTACTTGTTGATAGAATTTAAAGTTTTGATTCCATGATTTAGCTTTAAACAATTTGAAGAAAACTTAGAAAACTGGCTTTCCCAATATTCTTTGCAACATGCAGTTAATCTGAATTGTACTAAAATGGTAATTTTATCTAAAACTAAAACTTCTGAAAGCGGACAGCAGCTAATTATGTATTTTCAGGAATCTCCTGAACATTAGAAACATTGAGGTATTGTGTACAGAATTTCTTTTGCATAGTACTTTAGTCTATCTCTTGTTAAACAGTTGGGCAGATAAACGAGATACATGTAGTTCAGACTTCTCATGGAGCCATAGAGTGATTTAGAGTTCAAAGTCCTTTAGGATTCCACATCAGAGCTGCCTCTTCTGTTGGATCTGCCAAAAGTTTTCTTCATTGCCACTGTATAAAGAAAACACTCATATGTTCTCTGATTCAGACTTGTCTCTCACTAATTTCTCTACCAATACATCTATCTTCAAATTTCAGTTCACTCTATAAACAGTTAAAATGCTCTACTCAATTTTACTATGTTATAAAGGGATACAATGAAATATAGTTAGGTACAGTATAAATATAATTCATAAAACTCATTTTCCTCAATTTTAAAGGTGTAATATGATTAACATTTTCATTTTCAGAGTCTGACTTTTTTTTTTAAGATTTTATTTTATTTTTTTTAGAGAAGAAGGGAGGGAGAAAGAAAGAGAGGTAGAGAAACATTGACACGCGAGAGAAACAGTAATTGGTTGCTTTTCACACACGCTCAATGGGGACCAGGCCTGCAACCCAGGCATGTGCCCTGGCTGGGAATTGAACCAGTGACCTTTTGATTCATAGGCTGGTGTTCGATCCACTGAGCCACACCAGCCAGGGCTGTCTTTTCTTTAATATACTGTGGTCTGCTGAGTTATCCTATAAACCTGTATCACTTTTTAGACCAACTATGTCCCTTTGACTTTATAGAATTCCCGTTTTCTTTATAAAGCCACAGGTTTCTCTAGAAGTTGTCTTAGTACTTCTGCTCTTTCTGTCATTTTTTCTTGTTACTATGAAATACATATAGCTCTTTTTTAAATACTTTTCTCTTATAGCCTAAATAATCAGGGCCTTTTCTCTTTTCCTTTAATATTACACTCTTACAATTATACTATTACAATTATCCTGTTAGACAGGAAATGCATCAGTTATTTTGCCAGAGAGAATTTAATATAAAAAGTTGTTAACTAGGTAGGTATTAGAGAACAAAAAATACAACAAGGACAACCAAAGTATCAAGGAGGTAGTATCTTCAGGAAGCATTTACTGTCCTAGTTCCTAGTAGAACAAATGGATGGGGTTGAAACCAACCTCTTAGAAGCATGTGGAGGGGCTCCTCAGAACTGAGACTTTGACCTACATTGTGAGGGTTCTGCTTTGTTGCTTTACCTTTGAAGTTTGGAAGAAGGGCTGTAGGGCTGGGACTCAGACCTCTGAGGAGGACATGGCTGGTGCCGCTGTCTCTGAGCTGGGATTCAGCCTTGGAAAAGGCAGTTCTAGACAACTGGCTGATTATAGTGTCTGAGGCTTAGGTGGGGGGCGGGGCATTCGTAAGCTGGTTCTGGGAGTTCTGGAAAACGACACACTGGTATTAATTGCTATTACTAGAACAAACTACTTTAAGGTGAAGTGTTGCTAGGGTGACAGTCTGTGGATAAGAAGCGAAAAGGAGAGGAGCATTTGTTTTCCTCCTCTAGCTGTCCAGTCTTCCTTCAGCATCATCCTGAGGGCTGGTCCTGAAAGGGAGCCAACTGTCAAAGAAGAAACATGCTTCGCATACACTTCAACCCTAGTGTCACAAAACACTAAAGAAGGCTGGTTAGAGGCAGAGAGGTGGCTTAATCAGCATTCGTTTAAGCTCATTCAGGGGTTCAAAAGATCACGTTTTGTAGAGCTTGAGGATAACCCTTTTGGGCTCCTAAAATTCGCTGTCATAGTTAACTAGGTGACAGTGATGTCTGACAGTACTGATTCGATCACTCATTGTAAATGCAGTAGAGAGCATGGCATGTTCATGGACTGAGGTGATGTTGTAGCTGTGATAATTAGGAGATTCGAAAAAATCTCTTCTATATAATAGAGTCTGGATTGAAGGTGATACATGTGTGGAGGTATGTAGATTAGTTAGGAGATTTTTACACTGATTTGGAAAAGGTGAAGATGTTTTAGACAGTGTTCCTAAAATGTAGTCCATGTACCATTAGCATCGCTTGATAATTTAAGTAATTTTTGGCCCCACTCCAGAGTCAGAAACTCTGACGGTAGGGTATAGCTACTGTTTTAACATGCTCTCTGGGGTATTCTGAGACTTGCTTTGAGAACCATTTGTTTGGGACAACGTTGATAGCATTGGATTTGGGAATATGAAGTCTGCCCAGAAAAAAATTCAATCATTGTTAATATAACAAGAACAGTTGTGTGACATTCATGTAACCTGGCAGCCAAGGAGAGTGGACTGGAATGTGCATGTGTGAACAATGATGACTTCACTGTACTAGTCAGTGGTAGGTGGTAGAGTGAGCATGTGTACTGTGTGACTGTCAAATTCAAAACGATTGAGCGAGTAGAGCAGTAAATCTGCACCAAAGTTTACGTTAAGTTTGAACATTCCTTTGCGGAATGTTGTTGATTCAGAAGGCTGCAGCTATGGGCAGCTGGTCATTGGCAGCTTCATCATGACAGCTCACCCGCTCATGCTTCGCATTTTGTGCAGAGTTTTTTGGTGAGACATCATGTCACCCAGGTGTCTCAGCCTCCCTAACAGCCCAGATTTGGTGCTGTGTGACTTCTGGCTTTTATCAAAACTAAAAATCACCTTCGAAAGGGAAGAGATTTCAGACTGTCAGTGAAATTCAGGAAAATACAATGGGGCAGCTGATAGTGATTGGGAGAACTGTGTGAGGTCCCAAGATGCCTACTTTAAAGGGGAATAAGGTGTCATTGTTCTTTGTACAGTGTTTCTTGTATCTTGTATCTTCAATAAATGTTTCTCTTTTTCACATTGTATGTCTGGATACTTCTGGACAGCCCTTGTAGGTTCTAAGAGATAATTACAGGCATTAAGGTCTACAGGACTTGGAAGTTGGTTGAGTATGGCTTGCACAAGTGTGAAAGCCTTCATAGTGAGAGGGACTACTGAAAAACATCTTACTATTTCAGGTTAACACATTCATTTATCTAGTGTTATCTGGATAAATCATGCTTAATCTTGAGTAACTAGCTATGGGTACACAAGGTTAGGCATACTGAGAGTGCTTTTCTGAGATTTGCATTTATGGCCTAGTTTTCTTGAGGTCAGAATTTTACCTTCGTCTCTGCCAGCTCTTGATGTGTGTCTTGTGTGTGATTCACATCCAGGATGGACTGACTCTTGGAGAGTTACTTTTGTATACAGCAGGATGTCAACCAATTTTATCAAAGCAAGAGAAATGGTTTTGAATTTCTTCTGTGACAAACTGGTATTTTTAACTTAAGCATGTGGTTTTGGGTCGTTTTAATTTTTCAAAACATGTACAGTCGAGTACTACATAACAACATTTCAGTCAGTGACAGACCACATATATGGAGTTGGCATACCATGAAGCTTAGGTGTGTAGTCGGGTGGCCATAGCCTCTGAATTTGTGTAAGTGCACTCTAGTGTTTGCATATGGACGGAATCTCCTAATGCTGCATTTTTCAGAATGTATCCCTGTTGCAAAGCAGTGCCTGACTGCATAAAATAGCAATATCATATCAGAAATGTTTCCTTTTTAGTGGCATATTTTTCAAGTGATTTTTAATGGAAAATGAATAGTTTTAGAAGGATACTTTCATATAGAAGCAGCTACTGTCATTGAAGAGATGACTGTATTCTTGGCCTAATGAATTTTGATAATTGAGTGATCTTATCAGTTAGTCAAAATTTCTATAATTCATTAGCAAATGTATTTTTTCAACTCCACTAAACACAGTTTTCTTCATGAAAGGGTGATTTCTGAATGTTAAACTTCTTTCCCTTTTGGGACAATTGACTTTGATACTGAGTATTGAACATTACATCAAGGAGTTGGACATAGCAAAAAGAGCCTATAGATAAAACTTTATTTGAACAGTTCTGAATTTTGTTTCAACTAATACAGTTAGAAGTGTTAAAGATAAACTGAGGCATATGAAAAATTTTTTAAGAGTTTGTTTGAGCAGACAACAGTTTGAATCAGGCAACTCCAAACTGCAAGTGGTCAGTAGTGCTCCACTATAAGAGATAGGGTCAAGGTTTTTATAGAGAAGACACAAAGTAAAGCAAGAAGTTAATTTGCTTATCCATGGCTTAAGTGGTTACATTATTTGGGAAAGCCTGGTTGGCTTTTTGTGGTTGGTTGTTTTTAATCCAGAGGCATTTATAGGAAGTAACTCTGGCTTAGTTTTCCACTTGCCAGCAAAGCCTTAGAGCCACCTCCGTCTAATGGCCTACTTCTATGGTTATTTTAACAGTAGTGATCCTTATTCAGTCCATTTAAACTCACAACCAGTTTTGAGCCTTAATTAACATGTAAGAAAAAGCCTGTTGTAAAAAATTTATAAATTAGTGTGGTATAAGGCAGCTAGTTAAAAGTCCCATTCAAATAACATACATACACAGCATGCACAACAGTATGGTGGGTAAAGAAATAGTCCTGCCTCAAGGAGTATGGGAAGGCTTCTGGAGGGAGGTGGGATTGGGACTGGTAAATAGGGCTGTAAGAGTGGCATCCTAGATGGACCAAACAGTGCTTGAGTAGTGGCCCCTGAGTGAGGTGTGTTTGAGAAGACTCCGGTAGTAGGTGCAACTGCAGTAGGGCAGAAGACAGGAGCTGTATTGTGCAAGGCGGTTCCTAACTTTAGGCATGTAGGGTCAGCGTATTAAAGGTTTTTGAGTAAGGGGGTGGTATTTTAGGAAAGTAACTAATGATGTGACACAAAGTGGACTGTCTCCAGGTGAGACAGATGAAGGGGGAACCTTGTAGGCTAGTGCTTTCTAATCTTCCCTGAAGATACCAATCAGCCCGGAGTGATTTTAAGTATACAGAGTCCCTGCACTAATCCAGCACCACTGAATCCAACTGTTTCCAGTGGAAGAGACCCAGAAAACCAAATATTTTATGAGTACCTAACATGATTTTTATTTTCAGGTGTTTAAGAAATAGTTTTAGGCAATTTCAGGAGTCAAATTTCGAATTGTTTGAATTTTTATGTTTGTCAAATTGCCTTAAATTTAAAGGTTACAATGGGTGCCCAGTTTTTTAGGAAGCATTTAATTTTTTAGAAAGGAATAGCATTTTATATTTACTTTTTTTTTTTCACGCTTGCTTTTCTCTTTAGGGTATTTGTTACCTTTTGGGCTCTCATTTCGACTTCATATATTTGGACATTTTTCTCCCCTCTAACTGTCTTCCTCCTACCCCACTGCCCTGGAAATCCACCCATTACTACTTCTAAGACAATGGCCACAGTATAGGTTTCTGAGTTGATTTGTGTGTGGGTTTGGGGTAGAAGAACCCCCTTGGAACAAAATGGCTCCTAGGAGATAGAACAGTAGCCTGGACATTGGCAACTTCCCTTTCTCTATCAATGGTTCCTAAGTGATAATTGTTGAGGGAAGTATCTAATTTCTTGCCTCACTTAATCAGAACTATGAGAGGAAATTGGGGAAAGTACATGTTACTTGTATTTGTTACTTTTAGGCTAAACTGAAGCATTTATTTCATACAGGAAAGTAATTTGTAAGTTACCAATCACAAAATGGCCCAGTTTACATTTGTTAGTACTACCACATTTTATTTAAGATGCTGTAGATCATAAGACATACCATTATTTTATGGTACCACTACTTAAGAAAAATCAGCCATCAGTCTTAATCATTACATAATGCTCAAATGTCATGTGATTAATCACAACATTCCCTCCTTCTGCTACTTTAATGTGAAAAAAGTGGTCATCTTAAACATTATCTCTGAAGTAGGATGTTTCTTTTTGCTGTTTAGCCAGGCTGACTGTATAATAGCAGCATTATATTCTCCCTGCACGAGGGGAAAGTAGAAATATTTATATATACATATATACACACACACACACACACACACACACACACACACACACACACACATATATACACACACACCACATAATATACACATTCTTGAAAATTGATCACCTTGTGGTCTTAAAAATTGTATGCTAAAAAATAACAGAACTTCTGGGAAAACATAAGGTCATGGCAGACCACTCAACCTATGAAGTACTAACAAAAACAGTAATCATCTTAATAAAAATTCTTGTACATTTGAAAAGATACATTAACTCCTTAATAACTCCTCCAGTAAACATAGGACATGAGAGTTAAAAGGTGAAAGCCTGATATAAATATGAGGTCTGTGTGAAAGATAGCCAGCCATTGTTAATATATGGAGAATGATTTCCACAGTATCAGTGTCACCTGGCAGCCAAGAAGAGCAGACTGGAAAGTGCATGCGTGAACACTGATGACTTCACTATACCTAGTCAGTGGGGGCGGTAGATGCTGTTGAGTGAGCATGTGTACTGTGTGGCTGTCACATTCAAAATGACTAGGTGAGTAGAGCAACAAATCTGCATCAAATTTTGCATTAAGCTTGAACATTCCTCTGCAGAAACTATTCTGATCATTCAGAAGGCTGAAGCTTCATCACGACAACACGCTCGCTCAGGCATCACATCTTGCACATTATTTTGGCGGAATCAAATCACCCAGGTGACTCATCCCCTCTACAACCCAGATTTGGCGGTCTGCGACTTCTGGCTTTTACCAAAACTAAAATCACCTTTGAAAGGGGAGAGATCTCAGGCTGTCAGTGGAATTCAGGAAAACACAACAGGGTAGCTGATGGCAATTGGGAGAACTGTGTGAGGTCCCAAGGTGCCTACTTTGAAGGGGATTGAGGTGTCATTGTCCTGTGTACAGTGCTTCTTATATCTTGTATCTCCTTCAATAAATGTTTCTCTTTTCCACATTGTATTTCTGGATACCTTCTGGACAGACCTTGTATGGTGTAAGAAAGTTTTAAACTAATGAGTAATGTTGTAAAGGCAAAATGTTTACAGATCTTAGAGAAACAAACAGTAAGCACACACAAATACAAAACGCATGGACAAACTGACCCAAAGAAATAATGTGGGGCTGTCTGGTATTACAATATAGTTACAATTATAGTCTAGTCTAGTCTAGTCTAGTCTGCATTTGGTGTTATTGGACTTTGTGCCTGCTGCTGTTATGCAGTGATGCAAAACATTGAAGTATGGAGGCGGGAACCTTATAAACCAAAGCAGCTTGAATGTTATACCCTCATTATTCCCCTTTTAGTCATTTGGCATGAGCTCATTTAAGGAAATGTGCACCATAGCAGAATAGATTGAATTCTCTTACCTGCTTTTTAATTCTCTTATTTTGTTCTTGTCTAAGGTGTCTTCCACCTCTTTAGTTTTTCTGATAATCTTACTTCCTTGTTATAAGTACTCCAGTCTTCAACAGTTACTTCGTCTTTTGTGCTCTTGCAGCACTTGTTATCTGTACAATTAGCTGGCTTTTAAAATATGTCATTACTTTTTTTTTGCGTGCCTTCCTGCTAATCTGTGAGACCATTACTGATTTATATTACAAATAGATAGCAATTATGCTATGGTGTTCTGAGTATAGGTTTTACACATAAGTCATAGTATTGTCTATTGTCTACATATTCACTGTCTATAAATTTTGAATGTAGGTAGTTTTCCTTATTTTCATAGATAGCAACTTCCTGAAAACATGCACAGAAGTCAAAGGTGGGCATGCTAAGCAATAAACTTATATGTCACATGTTCTTTTAGAAAGCTAAATAGTATAAAACCCCTAATAACACCTCACCTTTAGGATACTGTATTGATATTCCTATCCTTCTTAACTTATTCTTTAATATTATTCCTTCACAATTGAACTCAGTCTCCAAGAATTGAGTCGAGTGGGCATCGAGTCCAGGCAGAGGAGTTGATGCTTTGGGCATGCTTGGTGATTTTCTTCTTTGCACACTTGTGCTTGCATATGATACTCAGGCATACATTGATACTTTGATATTTTGTCTTTCCTTCCTTTTAATGAAATATATAATACCCAATTACATATTGAATGATAGCACTGTACCAGTATGAGTGATTATACTGGGCCAGTAGTACAGAGTAGCAGAGTGATGTCGGAAAGTCAAAGTTAGATGTAAGACATTAGTATACAGTATCAGTGTATTATTGAAAGTATGAGATGTTCAGAAGTTAAGACCTATGATTTTCATCAACTCTTGGGTTCAGGCAAGTTAGCAATTCTTGGAAATTGGAAGCCTAGTCTGTTTTTAGTATTTTTTAATTACCCCAATAAGCAAGTTTGATATGAGATTTGGAATGTTTGTACTAAAGAAGAGAAAATTTTAAGGAAGATAGAATAGTAGGCAAATGAGATATTAGGAAAGGTAGTTTTGAAAACTGTAGAAAAAGTAGGCTCAGAGGAATGGTTTTGGAGATAGGAGGAAAGAAGAAAGATGATTATAAGAGGCTAATAAGTAGTTAGGACATTTGACTTTGAGCAGGGGTGTACAACCTTTTGGCATCTCTGGGCCAAACTGGAAGAAGAAGAGTTGTTTTGAGCCACACATTAAATATACAAACACTAACAAAAACTGATGAGAAAAAGGTTTTAAGTAAATTTACGATTTTGTGTTGTGCTGCTTTCACAGCCATGCTGGGCCATGGAGTTTGACAACCCTTAGAGTATGATATGTTTTGTCTTTGTTTTGATCCATTATTTTAGAATGTAGATAAATGGCTATAGGTAGTAGATAAGAATACCTAATTTTTACATTTACTTTTATTGAAAAGTTATTGAGAAATGGCTGTACAAAGCATTCCTTAATCATTTTCTTCCATCGTTTTATATTCTAGCTGCTCAGTTTATTTATTCACGACGAGACAAACCTGGTGTTGAGCCTGTAGATGAATGTGATTATGAAGACCTGAAGGAATCCTCCAATTATCTTTTAAACCATCAGCTAAGTGGATTTGATCAAGGTAAAGTAAAAATAGTCTGTATTTCTTGTATAATGATTAATAATGAGTATACCAGAATTTACCAGTTTCATTGTGATTGTTCATGATAGTGATTGTTCATGATAGTGATTGTGGGTAGTAAAGGTACAAATACATCTTGTATTTTTAAAGAAATTTACATTTTATTAAGTACATTATGTGTAGAGTATATGATTAACTGTATATTGAAAAGTTGGCTAGACTTCTGGCAAAGCTGGAGGTGTAGGTAGATACACCGTGCCTCCTTGCACAACCAAAAGAAGGACAACAACCAATTTAAAAACATAAACAACTGAACTGCCAGAAAATTGAACAGTATGGAAGTCTGCCCAACCAAGGAGTTAAAGAAGAAATATTCATCCAGACTGGTAGGAGAGACAGAGACGGGCATTGGGGATGGAAAGGACGTGCAGCAAGGCAGTGGCTGACAGACTGGGTGGTCCCACATTTGTGTGTGGATAAACTGGAAGGAACAACTGGGGAGCAAGACAGACTGTGCAACCCAGGGTTCCAGTACAGGAAAATAAAGCCTTAAAACCTCTGGCTATAAAAACCTGTGGGGGTTGTGCTGGTGGGAGAAACTCCCAGTCTCACAGGAGAGTCCATTGGAGGGACCCACAGCGTCTTAGAACGTATATAAACCAACCTGCCCAGAAATCAGTAACAGAAGGGCCCAGTTCACTTCAAGGTAGCAGGGGCAGTTACTGAAATAGGGGCATGAGCTGAGGAAGCAGGATTGTTTCCTTTTGGACTCCTCCCCTACATACAGTGCCACAACACAGCTACATGGATTACCCTGTCCTGGTGAATACATAAGGCTCCTCCCCTTACAACATAACAGGCCCACTAAGACAAAGAAATATGGACCAAATGAAAGAGCACATCAAAGCTCCATAAAAAATAGAACTAAGTGATGAAGACATACCCAACCTATCAGATACAGAGTTCAAAACACTGGTAATCAGGATGCTCACAGATATGGTTGAGTATGGTTGCAAAATAGAGGAAGAAGTGAAGTCTTTGCAAAGTGAAATAAAGGAAAATTCACAGGGAACCAATAGTGAAGGGGAGGAAACCAGGACTCAAATATATGATTTGGAACAAAAGGAAGAAATAAACATTCAACCAGAAGAGAATGAAGAAACAAGAATTCAAAAAAAAAAAATGAGGAAAGGCTTAGAAACCTCCAGGACAACTTGAAACGTTCCAACATCTGAATCATAGGGATACCAGAAGGAGAAGAGGAAGAGGAAGAAATGGACAACTGATTTGAAAAAATAATGAAGGGTAACTTCCCTAATCTGGCAAAGAAACAGACTCCCAGGAAGTCCAGGAAGCTCAGAGAGTCCCAAAGAAGTTGCACCCAGGAAAGCACACACCTAGGCACATCATAATTACATTACCCAAGATGAAAGATAAGGAGGGAATCTTAAAAACAGCAATAGAAAAGGAGACAGTTACCTTCAAAGGAATTCCCATAAGGCTATCAGCTGGTTTCTTAAAAGAAACCTTACAGGCAAGAAGGAACTGGAAAGAAGTATTCAAAGTCATGGAAGGCAAGGACCCACATCCAAGATTACTCCACCCAACAGCGCTATCATTTAGAATGGAAGGGCAGATAAAGTGCTTCCCAGATAAGGTCAAGGTAAAGGAGTTCATCCTCACCAAGCCCTTATTATAGGAAATGTTAAAGAGACTTATCTAAGAAAAAAATGAAAAATATGAAGAGTAAAATGACAACAAACTCACTACTATCAACAATTGAACCTAAAAAAACAAAAACAGAAACAAAAATGAACTAAGTGAAGAGCGAGAACAGAAACAGATTCACAGAAATGGAGATCCCATGGAGGGGTTATCAGTGGGGAGGAGGAGGGAGGAGAATGAGGGAAAAGGTACAGGGAATAAGAAGCATAAATGGTAGGTACAAAATAGACAGGAGACGTTAAGAGTAGTATGGGAAGTGGAGAAGCCAGAGAACTTATATGTACGACCAATGGACATGAACTAAGGGCAGGGGATGCTGGTGGGAGGAGGGTGTTACAGGGTAGAGGGGCATAAAGGGGAGACAAATAAGATGGGTCAACTGTAATAGCATAAATCAGTAAAATATGCTTAAAAAAAGAAAATTGATTGTATGGCTATTTAGTAACTGGAACTTTTTTATTGAAATCCTCATCTGATCTTAGGAGACAGACTTTTGTTGTCTTTTAATAATATTTATTGTTTTGTATGCTCTATGTAGAGCTTATGGTTAGATTAGAGAAGTTCATTTCCTTATAAAAACATTAGGTTCCAGAAGGCTGTTTTTCATTTTTTTCTCTTTTAAAATATTTTAGGTCCAAAGTAACACTATACAAGTACCCTGATGGGTCATATCCATGTAAATTAAGTTTCAAGATAGAACTTGGGAATGGTAACGATACTCGTTCTGAGTTTGATCCTTTCAGTTCTCTTAAACATTTTAATAGAGATATTTGTGTTTTGGCTTTGGTGTTTTATACGTAAATTTCAAACATGCCATAGTTTCAAACATGCCATAGTTTCAAACATATTACTCAAGCGTTAGATAGGTAAACAGTGGAACAGAGCTAAAATGGCCAGGCATCATAGTGAAACCATCTCTTGGTAGTGAACAGGATTGAGCTGATTTACTTTCTCTAGAGTATGACTTTGTTCTAAAATGTTGGTAAATTGAAAGTTGCTAACAATTATTTGGAAAATAAAAAGGAAATTTAAGAATCTGAGAGCTGATCATTTAATTTATCAGTGAAATATATATTATTTGCTAACCAAACCAAGAATAATGCAGAGAAAGCACAAATAAACGAAATCAGAAAGGGAAACATTTTGATGGCAATGTCACTCACTGAGTGATAGAATTAAAAAAATTTCTTTATCAACTGCAAATACATTTAATAATTTGGATAAAAGTTTGTAGAGAAGCTGCTATATATACTCTTAATAGTATTTGATTGTGCATTTGAAGAAAATGTTATAGTTGTCATTTTGGAGTGATAGGGTGGGAATAGAGTAGAAGTCTTATACTTCTGCTATGCCTCAGAATGATTGAGAAGGTATGAAACAAAGTTATGTTTGAGAATGAAAGTTAATCATTCCCATCTGACATAATTAATTGCATGATAATAATAATGATGGTAGCTAACTTTTACTAAATGCTTTCCTGGTACTCTTCTAAATGTTCAGGTATTAATATGTTTAATCTTCACAGCAACCTTATGAGGTAGCCCAGTTAATTGTCCTCATATTAGAGGTGAGGAAAATGAGACACATTGTACCAGCTAGTCAGTGGCATTAGGGTATGAATCAAGATAGTCTGAGTTCATATTTCTACTCCTTATGTATGTATAGAAAATAGTTGCTACAGTTAATTAGAAGGGGGCCTGATGCTAGCTATACTAAATATTCTGTTCCAGTTTCAATAATTCATGTATTTATGAAATAGATATGGCATAATTTTTCAAGTATGTATTATTAGTCTAAAATTAATGTTGGACTCAAGCAAGGGAAAATTACTCAAATGTTTGAGAAATTTATTTTTAATACAGTTTTGCCCCACTAAATAACAGGTTATGTTCTGAGGAACATGTTAGGTGATTTCATTGGTGTGCGAGCATCATAGAATGCACTTAGACAAACCTAGACAGTACAGCCTGCTGTACACCCAGTCTGTATGTATGCCTATTGCTCTTAGCCTGCAAGCCTTTTAGCACGTTACTGTGTAAAACATGAGATAAAAAAAAAGTGAAGACTCAGTAAATGAGATACAAGGCTGCTGCCTGTGTAACATGGCATACTGTTTTATAGCAAACATTTTTTATAAGTAGAAAGAGTACACCCTGCAGCAGCAATTTTCAACCTTTTTCATCTCATGGCACACATAAACTAATTACTAAAATTCTGCAGCACAACAAAAATATGGATTTTGCTGATCCGACAAAAAGAAGTATAATTTTGATCCTTTCACACCATACAGTTAATGTTGTGTCAGTCATTGTCCTTTCTTTTATTTGATAATCTAGGTGAAAAGAGCGCAGTGCCCCTGATGAAATCGCCAGGTATTGCATGGTTGGCACAGTGGTTGAAAATTGCTACTCTAAAGTAATGATAAAACATATATTAAGTACATAAGCCAGTAACAGTCATTTGTTATCATTACCAAGTATCGTGCACTGCACTTTGTTATTTGTGATGTTCCGTTATACGACTGGTAGCTCAGTAGGTTTTTTTACACCAGCAATACCATAAACGAGTGTGCATTGCTCACAGGGGTCCAACCTTTTGGCGTCTCTGGGCCACACTGGAAGAAGAGTTGTCTTGGGCCACACATTAAATACATTGTGACACATAATCAAAAAAAGTCTCATAATGTTTTAAGTAAATTTACAATTTTGTGTTGTGCCACATTCATAGCCATCCTGGGCTGCATGTAGCCCGCGGGGCCATGGATTGGACATCCTGGCATTGGACATTAAGATGGTGATGGCACTAAATGATAGAAATTTTTCTGCTCCATTATACTCTCATGGGACCACTGTGGTGTAATGGTTCGTTATTGACCAAAATGTCATCATGTGGCGCATGCCTAATTAAAAAGAAAGCAGTGGAAAAAGTGTCAAGTACTCTTTTTATTTTTATCAAAGGTCAGGTATTGGCAGTAGATTCCTGTTCAACATGTAAGCATATAAAATGCAACATAAGTTGCATTTTGTGGAATGGTTTTATGGGGTAGGGAGTCTGCACACCTCAGTTCTGTTTAAAACTTCTCAGTAGTGTTTGATTGAATTTCTAAAGAAAGTGGTTTTTGTCATTGTAGGGTGTAATTCCATGATATTCAATCATATCTGTGAATTAGAATTTGCCTGATATATCTAGGTTATAGAGTTATTTTGAGGACTACAAAATATATAAACTATTTTGAAAACTGTCAAATGCTATACAAATAAAATTAATATATTCATCCATTTTTATTCAGTAGTGACTTCTACCAAGTCCTGTTTTAGGATCCAGGGATATAAGTCTCATAGAATTTACATCATTAATGAATATTATTAGCAGTTACTTTTTAAAAGTAATTAATGTGGTCATCAGAAAATAAAAATTTTTAAAAGATTAGAGTTTCAGATTTAAAATATTAATTTTTTAAATGAATGTCCATTTTCTTAATCTATTGGACTTCCTTATTTTTATGACATTTTAATATTATGCTATCTTGCCCATTTTAAGAGTTATTCAGTGTAATTTTAGTTGGCTGGGGAAAACTGAAGCTAGCCTAGAGGAAAATTTAAAGTAATAATAATTTAATAAATTTTAAGAAATGTAATTAGTGATTGACTGGGTTCCATAACATCTAGAAATACTTTCACATCTACCCTTCCCTTTGTACACATGTACAAAGTCAGTGCAAACATCATCATCATTGAAAATCGATACTAATATATGAGGGGGAGACCCCCCAAAACTGGAATTATCTTGTGGAGGGTGGGACCCTTGTAGTATAGGCTTTCCCCTCTAGGTGAGTGTTCTAGGAACCCACCTGTACCAGCTGGTGCATTTGCAGGAGGCTGCATTCGGCTTCAGTGATTTTTTTTGAAGACTCAGCACATTTGCCCATTTCATGATGGGTGATTTACAAGCACATCTGCCTGTACTGCTCCGAGTGTTCAGCAGCAGTCTTTTGACCATGGCATGACCCTCACGCGCCACCTCGCCTATTCACCTGATCTTGCCCTGAGTGACTTTTTTTATTTCCCTGGATGAAAAAAGCCCTTAAAGAGAAAGGTTTTGCTGATGTGGAAGACGTGAGACAAAAAAATGGCAGAAGCACTAAAAGGCATCAAAATTGGGAAGTTCAAAAACTGTTTTGAGCAGTGGAAAAAAGGTCTCAATAGGTGTATTGCATTTAATGGAGAGCACTTTGAAGATGACTGAAGTTTAAACATGTTAGAATAAATACACAATTTTTTATAAATAAATTCTGGGTTTTTTTGGGGGGGTTCCCCCATGTATACAGTTTACATTTTTTTCAAGCATTAGTCAGTGTTATTTAGGAGACATTTATTATAGCTATTTCTTGATTAATGAAATTATTCCTTTGGTAAAGGAAGATAGGTATGTTGTGGATAAAAATATAAATAAGTTGTGGAGGAAAAAGGAGAGTTGAACATCCTATTATAGTTTCAAATTCTTCTTTCAGTTTTGAAGATTCAGATGTTTTTCATGACACCATTTGGTCTAGCTTTTCATTCTTGTTGTCTGTTCTAGCTCGTCTTTATTCATGCCTTGATCACATGAGAGAGGTATTTGGAGATGCTGTGCCAGATGACATACTGATTGAAGCAGTTCTGAAGAATGAGTTTAATGTGGAGAAGGCTTTGTCAATGGTTCTGGAACAAGATAAAATGCAGAAGTTGAAAGTCAACAGTGAGGGAGCAATACCTACAGGAAAGATAGCAAAAGGTATGCTTTTACTTGTTCTTTTAGTTGTTTTACAGTAATGCTTTAAAAGAGACTTTTAAAGCTTGAGCTGTTAAGGAAATGGGCAGAAAATTTTGCATGTTACAATAACTCTAGATTATCATCAACTGATTTTCTGGTTTGCAGTTTTAAGCTGAGTGCCATGTCCTCTCTGTCAAAGCCTGTCGCCCCCCCCCGACCCCCCCCCCCCCGCATGTTTTCATAAGTAACAGGATATAGGGGAAATAAAATCCTATTAAAAACAAGACAAGACACTTTTGCTTTTTGTTACTAGCTTAGAGAGCTTCTAAATTACTGTTGTTTTTTAACTCTAAGGGGTAAGGTGATGGAAATTAATAGTCCAACAATGTCAAGAAATCCCTTTATGTGTATAGTACTTATACATGTGATTTAGTTTTATTTACATATTGTAAGTATCATAATTATACTACTCTTGCATTTTATAGCCAAATGTTGAATTTTCAGTGTGTAGAATTTGGGGTTAAATTTGGGATTTAGTCGACATCGATATGAGATCTGTTAGTAGGAACCTGAGGACTTGTTAACTGGGTTGATATTTCCTGTAAGCTGAAGACTAGATTTTTGCCAAAAGTTACATGTAGTCTGCTACCATGAAGTAAGGGTGGTTTTTATTTTCTATTATAATTTAAAAAAATTTGAGGGGGATGTATCTTTAACTGACCAATGTGAGAATGGGTTTGTAATATGTCATCAGTAGTTTATCCCAGATCATTGTAGAAATTATAGGGTGGTGTTTGTTTGTTTTTAATACATTAAGAATACAGAAATTAAACTTAGTTTAGTTTTTAGACATTTTGATTTTGAGACAATCCTGACTATAATTGAAGTCTATTAAAACCTTACATTAAAAATTTTGTGGAAATTAGAACACTGATTAACTTGGTACTTATATTTGTATATATCAGTGAACAAAGTAGGAAGGTCACTTTAGATGGTTAAAGGAAGGTAATATTCTGTTATTAACTGATTTTTAGACTATTCACTTTTTATGAAATAATGACTAAGTGTCACTTTATTCATGTCATAATCAAAGAAACGTTTAGTAATTAAATGCCTCATTTCATGTTTCCTTTTGGTTGCTGTGACTGTCTTCTGCATGTGTGAACCTATTCATCTGAAAATTAATGGCTCTTGTAAGGTAAGGAGTCTTATTATCTTACTCTGAAGTTTCAGCTGATGATGTTCAAAGCTCTTGTCCTCAGTCTGCAAACCATTTGGATTGCAGTAGCAAAGCATTTGATTTTTCTGGTCCAGTAGCAAAATGTGGATTGTATCGTAATTCCTTAATTGTACCAAGTCACTTTTTACTTCATAAAAAAAAGAAACTTGACAGGCTCAAAAGTAAAAAGAAACTAGAATCATGTAAGTTAACAAAAGAGCTGTCACTAGCTGAACTAATTGATGATATGCCAAGAGATTCTTATAAAAATCAGTCATCAGTCAGATTATCATCCACAGATAATCTGGAAAGTCTAATTTCAAAGAGTCTAGATGCTGATTTGTTAAGTCCTCGTGCATCTGAATGTGTTTCCAAAGATGACTCTCTGTTCAAAGGAATACCAGATTTAAAATCCTTAATGATAAAGAACATAACACCAAATTACTCTTTATTTACTCAAAATGATTCACTACCCGATTTGCAAAATATTTCAGTACAAAGCAGTTCAGAAAGTTTAAATAATCCTTTGCTCTTAACTAGCTCACTGGAAAATATGGCTCTTGATAATTTAAATGATCATAAAATGACTGAAATTGGAAATGTTTCTTCAATTGAACAAAGTGCAAAGAATTGCATTTTTAAAAATGACAATTTTCAGTTTTCTCAATGTGGAAGTCCATCTCTAGCTGAACTGTGTCAGGACCACAAAGAAAACAATTCAAGTCAATGCTGTTCTTTATCTGATCTTTGTAACCAGCCATCGGCCAGTTTCTCCGATCTAAGTTTGGGATCCTTTCCCCTATCACAACTAGCAAATCGGTGCCAATCTTCAGTCGGAGTATCAGAATTAACAGGATCTCTGTCATCTTTGGCGTTTCGCAAAACTTCTCCTACAAGAGACTTTGAGAATTTGTCACTTTCTGATTTGATTGCAGAAACGATTGATATAGATAATTCTCAGATTAAGAAAGATTCCTTTAAGCTCGGTTTATCTGAAATGAGGTCACCTGAAATAGATTCAAATATTGATCTTAGCATTCTTATAAAAACCCCAGATTTTGTTCTAAAACCTGTAGTAGACCAATCAATTGCTCCAACTCCAGGAACTCAAGTTCTGAGTTTGAAGCTAGGGAAAAATTCTATGTCTGTTAAAGATAATAAGAAAAACAATAAGGGCTCTCAGGCTAGGAAACCACCTTTTTCTTTGTCTTGGACCAAGGCCCTTGCCGCTAGACCTTCAGCTTTTGCTTCAACACTATGTCTTCGTTACCCATTGAAAGGCTGCAAGCGACGCACCCTTGACCTTTATAAGACTTTTCTTTATAGTAGACAAGTCAAAGACATAAAAGACAAAGAAATAAGTCCTCTTATAGCAATAACACCATTTGACTTCAAATCAGCATCTCCTGATGACATCGTAAAAGCTAATCAAAAGAAAGTTTTTACTAGAGAATAGTAACAAAAGGAAAACTTGGTAACTGTTTAAGAGCTTTTCATTTTAAAGTGATTTAAAGTCTTTATGGGATGACTTTATATCATGGATTTAAGTTGTGATTTTTATATTAAAATAGTCTTAAATCAGTTGATAACTTTAGTCGATACATATTTTTGCACTGAAATTTCATTTTTACTCTATCTTTTTTAGTGATAACTGGCTTTATTTAAGTTGATAGCCTGTAATGGGTGTATGTTTACAAATTGCATATGAAAACTTGATATTGTGAAATCAAACCTCAGAGACAGTATTTTTGTTTCGAGTATTGACATTTTTTACAATGAGACATTATTTTTTGTGCTTTGTTCTTAAACGAAATGCTACTACGTAGGATTATTATAGTTTAGTGATGAAGATTTTTTAAAATCACTAAACATAAGCATAGCTGAGACATAATTACATTTTAAAATATCAATATGATCCCTAGTTTCATTAATTTTCTGTAGGTGACTCCTAAAATTTTCTATTGGAAAAATCTTTAAATTCCTGACTTTGAAGAATACTGTGGAGGTTGTTGAAATACATTTTTGATGAAAATAAAATGAAAATCCTTTAAGGGACCATGTAAATATTGAGGTTGGATTAATACAGAAATTATTTTTATACATTTTCAAAAACATTTTTCCTAAATGCACACTTTAAAATAAATTTTTAGAAAGTGTTTTCAAGTCTGGTTGCATGTTCTTTGAATAGATAATTTTATCATACCTCTTTTTTACTGTAAGTAACGAAATGTGGACCTTTCCTCTTTGCTCCTGACAGCTGTGCGCTACAATCTAAGTTTCAGCAGTGGCAGACCGAGTAAGCGTTCTTCTGGTCTGTAGAACCAGTATGTTTCTTCATACTAGCAGTCAGAATTGTTGGGGGAGTTTTTCAGATACTGTGGCTTCCCCTGAGACGTGGTCACCCAGTGTTTGAGGGTGACATTTGGGAATGTGTGTTTTCACAGTAGTCCCAATGGGATTTGGATGTGTTACTTCTACTGGAGAACTATTGCCTTAGAGAAAGAAATCAGTAGAATGGAAGGAATTGCTAATTCTTAGAATAATATTTGACCAACTTGAATTTATAATTTACATTTTCTAGTAATCAGAAATACCAAAAAGTTACTAAATAGAAATTATGGTCTTTATGTAAGAGGAAGTTGATATTATAGTGTTTCTTAGAGGAAAAAAATAGTATTTAAAATATTAATTTTTAATGAAAAGAGAAATAGCAGGTCTTTTACCAGTAAAAAAAATATATTTCTCTGGCAGCTACTTCACTATACTTTTGATAAACTTTTTTTGTATTTGTATTTTCTATTTATTTGCAGAATGACATTCCAGTCTTTTATATTATATGCATTGTTTTGAGGGGAAAGCCTAAGCCAGCATTATGTCTTTATTGTTCTTGACCACTTTTCTTGTGATGTCTTCAGGTTTTATTTTTAATTGAATATTTCAGTGCCAATCATACTTGTGCTTAGGTCACATAAATCACATATTTTATGTTTCATTTTAAAGTTTGAATTACTTCAGCTGTTGATTTTGTTTTTCTAGATGAAACATCTTAGTTATTTTGAACTTTTAGTATATGACTCATACCTAGATTTATATATAGGCAGTCTCCAGCTTAGAAGTGAATTGTGTTCTAAGAGTTTGTTTGTAACTGACAATAATTCCTGATAGAGTAAGTGCTACATATGTGGTCCACTTTGCATGTGAATCCACAAATGCTTCCCTAACCCATACTGAAGTTGAACTGTATCATATCTGCCTTTCAACAAACCAATTTTCAAGTGGAAACACAATACTTTTTAAGTCACATAGTAGATCTTGCAGCATGAGCTAAATCTCCCTTTGTTGGCTGGTTAGGATTATAACTACCATTTATGAAATTATTTTAGGGGGAAAAGTCTTATATTACAGGATGATAGGGAAGGCAACAACTTTTAAATGTCTCCCTATTTTTGTTTCTGTCATGGCTACTGGTCTGTCAGGCATGTACATGGTATGCACTTGCCCTGCTGACGAAGGAAGTGTCACAGTCTTGTGATTCAGAGGGCGGAATTAAGAGGAACCCCTGCCCCTTCCACCCCTGGCCTTGAGTCCTTGGAAGAGAGACAAGTGGCTGCTTATTCCTGGATATTCTCGTAGTGAAACGCTTGCTCTCAGTGCACATTCTGTACCAGCTGCTGCTCCCACCACTGTCTTTGGGAGCTCAGATATGCTAAGTGTTTTTGGTTTATTTTCCAGTTCAAATACCAAATTTGAGGTGCAAAGTCATTTTTATTTGCATTATGATCAAGTGCATTAATATTTTACCTTAGGAATAGAAATAATACTGTAATTACATTCTAAATGATATAAAATAAAAAAATTTAAATTACCATTTTACTCTTAATTTTTTGTTGTTATTTTTTAAAAGATCTGATGTTCATAGATGTTTTATCTTTTTGCATTCTAAAATCTTTGGTTGGCTTTTTTGGTTATGATTCTTACCATTGATTGCCAAGTACTAGTGTTTTACTTCTGTACCGAGCACTTTGCTTAACTTCTCCTTTTATATTTTACCTTTTTCTTATTTATTAGTTTTACTAAAGTGGCATTGTAACCTGTTTTTCTCCTTCTGGCTTTGAATCCTTCTTTCTTGAACTTTTCCTTCACACTTTTTCTTATGTAAGTGGTAATAACTATTCCCAGTGTCTAATATATTTAATTTTTAGTGTTCATTTGGGAGGTTATGTAACTAATTGTCACACAGAAGATAACGTTAACACAGTGCTTTTCTCTGTATGTAAAGGAAGCACTATTAGGATAAACAAGGAGGAAAATAATGGATTCTTATATGATTATTTACCTTTTAGAATGACCCCGAATCTCTGTGTAGACCACTGCAAAGAAACAAGTACACAATTATATATTCAGAAGAACTGTGTATCAAGTTTTCTGTTTCATGTTCACACAAATAAATATTTGGTTTTAAAATCAGTTTTGTAGTAGCCTACAAAATGTTTTCTGTTATATATATAAACACAGATAATGTTGACTAGACAGGGGTTGACTGAATATCTTTGTGTTTTTTATGTTATATAAGCCCCAGTTGTATACTACAATTTTTAGGGTCTAGAAAGACTTGTCACTTTTTGAGTGTATGTGTACATTTTTATAAAAGCTGCAGTGCAATAAATGATAATTCTAAGGTTTTCTTAAATCAAGTGTGAAAACATACCAAAATTTATCCATTAGGGTTTTTTATATAAGCTTGGTATTTCAGAATATATTAATAATTCATGCTGAAGGTATTGCTTTATCTTCCTGTAAACAAATTAAAAAACAACTCCTTAGTTATATAGAATTCTTGTAGATATTTGTCATTTATACTCTTGCTTTCAAAAAAGTAAAATTATATACATTTGTACTTTTCAGGATTCACATAGAAACACTGTTATAGGTTATGGTGAATACGAGTCATGTACTTGCAAAGATGGCAGTAGAAGTTAATAGAATTGATAAAGTGCACATTTCTGGTGTTGACATGTCTGGTTTATATTATGTAACTTAAAGGAAAGCATCATTTACTTGCAGAAGATATACCAAGATGAACAGAGATAATGATTCTTCACTCTCAAAGGGAGGGGGTTTGAGTACCTAAACACATGATTACATTTATTACAGCGTGGTAGACGTCACATTGTACTCTTCAGAGCTGATGTCTTTGCCTTCCTGATCCAAGCGGCCACCACCTTCTGTTTCCCATCTTTAGTAGTAGTATCACCCGCTTCCAGTTGCTTAGGCCAGAAACCAAGCTAACATAATCTTTGATTTTTCTTTCATTTACTTTTGATAACTCATTACCAGTCCTTTTGGCTTTACAAATAAGTAAATATGCGCATACATATACAGTTGTTTGTTACTTGTGGTAGTTATATTTTATAAAGTTATATACTAGTGAACACTGAATGAAACGTGTGAACACTGAATGTGTGACTACTGAACCATAGTTCCTACAAGAAATAGAAGGTTGGGTTTCTGTGAGATTCTGGTCATGATATTTTTGTCAGTCAATTTAATACATAACCTTATTTTATCTACTTATTTAAAGATACTTTAATATTTTATTTATGTATTATTGATTCATTAACACTGAACTCTAGCAACACTATAAGTCTTGCCCAAACAAAGCTTATCTAACACATCTTTTATTTGTCAGGCGCGTCACAGCTACCTTGTTGTGGGAACACTAAATAGCACTTAAGCATTACTCTTTGGAGGCCATTTTAAACAGCAAAATTACAGACTAAAAGTCACAATGCCAAAAATGTGGCAGTAAGCAGGTCGTGGAAAGGACGCTTCTGTACTGTATGAGAGCTGAAGCAAGATGGGGTGCTGCCTTATTGAACCTCAGCTGGGAATGTCACATATTTTGTTCCTCTGCACTTGTCTGTGAGTGACTGTGAAAGTGCCACAGGTGACTTTGGGGTTATAAATTTTAGCAAGTAGGTGAATTAGCTAATTTGGAATCTGAGAATAATGAAGATTTACTATATGTTTTTTGACTTACTACTCTGTCCTTATTATTGTGTCTTCTCATAAAGCACCTTAGCTTTGGATAAAGCTATTGAAACACCTAACTGTTTTTTTCTCAGTTTATTTCCTCCAAAATACTTTTTATACTTCCTAAAATACAGCGTTAATTTTCTGTTCCCATGTAGAAACCTTTTAAATTATTTTATAAGACCTTTTATGAACTGGTTTCTGTTTGTGTGCCCCCCTACCCAAACCCACCCAAGAACCACCCACCTGAGTTTTCTCTGCTTTGCTCTTCCTTCCTCTACCATCATTTCTTCCCTTGGCCAATTGCTGTTTAGGTTGTAGTTTACTTACCACTTTACCCCCATTCTTGTCAAAGGGAAACCTTCATATGCGTGGTATTTCACTATATTCCTTTTAATACCACCCTATGTAAAAATCATACCTTTCCCATACAAGTAGTCCCTTTCGTGTTGTTCCATATGGCACTTACATCATCTGCCATGGTATGTGTACACGAAGTTGTTTGTTTGTTATCTGTCTCCTCACTGCTCCCCATTCCTTTAAAGTGATTTGTACAACGGCAAGGATTTTGTGTGTTTACTGCTGTATCCCCAGCTTAGAATATGCCCACATAAATGTAGGAAAAGATTTAAAGAAAAAAATGAGTCCCTCCTAATACAGTTCCATAGTCTTGTTCCCCACAGGAAGTTATAAATAAATCTGTAAGCATGTTGTTTATTTTTCTAGAAACTTGCATGTTGTACATATATAAATGTACATATATATCTTTACACAAATGGGAGGATACTAGACACTTCTATATCTGTATCACTTAGAAAATTTTACAAGTCTTTTTGTTATCAGCATACAGAGATCAATCTCATTGTTTTTAAAAGCTGTATTTAAAAGCTATGTAGAATTCCACAATGTTTGTACATTAAAAAGGCACTGTTGATAAACATTTTAAGTGTTCTTAGTTGCTATTGCTAATGACCCTAAGATAAATAACCTGCATTTCTAGAAATTGAGTTTCTAGGCCAAAAAGTGTATACTTTGAAATTTTTGATAGCTGCTGCATTAATTGTCCTTAATAGAGGTAGTAGTAACTTCCTAACCTCTTTCCCATGGGTGTATGAGTGTTTTTCTTCACATTCTCATAGATATGGTTATTTTTTGGTGTTATGCCAACCTGATAATTAGAAAAATTGTTTTCAGTTACTTATATATCTTTGATGAGTGAGGCGGACTGCTTTATTATATACTTAAATTCTTTGTATTTCTTTTTCTTGGAACTGTTCCTAATCTTTGCCATTTTTCTGCTGGTTATATTTCATAATGACTTTTAGGAATGTGTGAGTGTATTTAATACATTTATATTTGATTTATATATTTAAATACTAAGTAAATTAGTGTTTTGTGATATGCTTTTTCTGATTGTCATTTTTTAAAGTCATTAGAAGACAGATGGTTAATTTTAATATATTTGTATTTATCAATCTTTCATGGGTTTTTCAAAGTTCTCTACTAAAAGATAATTTTTGAAAAATTGTTTCTTCTAATGTGTATGATAGGTTCAATTTTTTGTTTTAAATATTTGAATCTTTGATCCAGCTGCTATTAGTGGGTAAGCTAGGAACTTGGTTTCTCTACTAACACCCTTCCTCTTTTCAATAACTGGGTTTTTCACAGTACCTTTTGTTGACTTACACATTGTCTTTTTTAACCGGAATTGAAACGCCATCTTTGATAGACTAAATTCCTCTCTGTTTATCTGTTTGTCTATGTGAGGACTCTGTTTCTTTGTTTTGTTCAATGCCAGTATCACATTTTTAATTACTGTAGTTTTTTATTACTGTTAGATTTTTAAATATTTTGTAGGCTATCTTGCTTTCTCTCTTTTTTAAAAATTGTTTTCACAAGTTATCTCATGTAGCTCTTTTATGCACTTGAGCTTTCTAAAGAGATTATCAAATTACTGAAAAATTTCTAGTTGAAAATTTTTTTGAGATGTTTAATGTTTTTTAAATATATTTTACTGATTATGCCATTACCGTTGTCTTTTTTTATCTCTCCTTTATCGCCCTCTGCCCTGTACTGCCGCCACCAGCATCCCTCCACCTTAGTTCATGTCCATGGGTCATACATATAAGTTGTCTGGCTTCTCCGTTTCCCACACTATTCTTAACCTCTCCTGTCTAATTTGTACCTACCATTTATGCTTCTTATTCCCTGTACCTTTTCCCTCATTCTCCTCCCTCCTCCTCCCCACTGATAACCCCTCCATGGGATCTCCATTTCTGTGAATCTGTTTCTGTTCTCGCTCTTCACTTAGTTCATTTTTGTTTCTGTTTTTGTTTAGGTTCAATTGTTGATAGTAGTGAGTTTGTTGTCATTTTACTCTTCATATTTTTCATTTTTTTCTTAGATAAGTCCCTTTAACATTTCCTATAAAATAAG